GCACGGCTATGACCGGTGAAACGAAACGTCACGAATTCTATTTTTATCCTCTAATCACAGGTCGGGGCAATTCCTCTGTTTAGACGCATGTATGCGGAGAAGGTTATATATACTGCATATATATATTTGACCTAAAGTTGTTTCTGAAAGAGGGAATATAAGCATTGGTATATAAAATGACTGCCTTATATTACTAGCAAAGTATAACACAAGTAACCAAGTGGAACTTGGAGCAAGTGGCATTAGGTAATAAAATAATTTTACAATGAATAATTTTTAATCAGAAGTTCATATTTACACAATGTGGTAAGAGTGTAGTGTGAGTAACTGTGGAATGACCCATATGGGTTGTGTGATGGGTACAATTTCTATTTGTTTGAGCAAACCCATAGTTTGCTCCCAAGTTCTTTGATTCATGCTTTTGAACATTGTCTGATAGTGATAGTGTTACTGTTATAAAATTCACTACAAGTGGTCACTTGGAAATGCATATTATAGCCTAGTGTGGATTCTGTGTACTACAGTACTCTGTGGGCCTGCAGAGTATCAGCCAGATTTAATTCTAATTGTTTACCTACAGGGCGTGAAATTAGCACCTGCCCAGACCATCCTTAAAAAATTCTGTTTGCTGTCCCCCGACTCATGATTTTTTAGTGGGTAGGTAGGTAGGTCTTTTTTTGTGAGGCATAATAGTTATTTTATGTCTGTCCTCATGGTTGCCACACATGCTTTGTGTTTCAGTCTTAACTATGAGGAATGTAAAAAAAAAAAAAAATGGAACCCAAAATGTAAAAAAAAACTTGGGTTGCGGCTATTTTCGTGGGTCGGCCGGAGGACAGCAAACATATAATTTTTTAAGGATGGCCCCACCGGCCTATGCTTGCAAATTATTTGGAGGACCAGTAACATTGGCAAAACACCGGCCCTACTAGGCAGTGGTTTCAGCCATGTTAGTGAGTACCTACATTTTTAGCTCATCTGACGTAGTCAGATGCACCTTGTAGAATCGCATGATTGTGCGTCTGTCCATTCGTTTGTCCGTCAACAGTTGGGCACAAATCTTAACTGCTCAACGTACGGTCACGATATTCGGGACGTCGGAGGGGATCGTGAAAAGGACTCAGGATGACAAATGTGTAAACGGAGGGGGAATATTTCCCCTTAACTTAAGGTATAGGCGGAAATACAGAATTGCGGCACAAATCTTAACGGCTCGACCTATGCTTTTAATATTCGGTGTATAGTGTGATGGGCAGGAAACCCATCACCAGTGCGAAATTGGAGGTCACAGGTCAAAGGGCAGTGGGAGAAAGGTCAGATATCAGACATTTTCTGAGGACGTGGCCTAACGGACAGAGTGGAAAACTTTTTTGTTTCAGCGCTGACCTACCATTTTTATGACTTTATTGAAAGGACCATGAAATGTGCTTTCCACTGACGTGCGAAGAGTAAGTGGCTGATAACCTTTTGACCCTCGAGAGGAGGGTTAAACATGGATTCCTGAACTGCCTCAATGATGTCAGTGTTCTCATATTCATGGCACATCCATAATCTAGAAAGCCCATAAGCCTTGATAGCCAAACGGCTACAGCACAGGATTACGGCTCAAAGGTCCTCGGATCGAATCCCATCAGATTTTTTATTATTTACCTGTTTTCTGTATTTTTCTATCTTTATCCATTTAACTATTTTTTTTCAATTAATGCAAATATTTACATGATTTATTTACAACAATTTCATAACAACAAATATATTTTACAACAATTATTATTATTTTTTTAATAGGGTTAGCGTTAGGGTCACAATGCACCATAAAACAGGAGTTTCAGGCACGCGATTTGTATCAACCAATGGGATTTGGGAGGTATGCAGAATGCAGAAGGTTGCTGAAATGATGTGTATGGAACTGCGTATCTGCATATCTGCGCCTAACAAAGGTGTTACTACGCACGACTTAAATGTTACGTTTATAACCGTAGCAACAGTCTGCAGATGAGCCCAGACGCTCTGCGGCTCTTGTTATTTATAGCATTAATGAGCAAATAGCCTACATTACTGTTAAATTACTTGATTCAAAGACTTTGGACGACATTTTACGATCTGCATTATAGTCTGTTCAACAGCTACTATGCGATGCCACACACTACAACATTTTTCGAACAAACATTTTTTTAATTATCATTCTGAGTCTTGTTTTAGGTCCCTTCTGGTTCAAACAGCAAACAAAATTGTGAAAGCTTGCAAATTTGTGAGGGCTGGTAAAAAACTGATGTTACCAGCCCTCTGGGCCGGTGCAAAAAATCTGAATTTCATGCCCTGACCTAGCTGTCTGCGAAGTCTCATTCTGAGCCATGTTAGGCGAATCTTCCTTATATTTATACTTAATTACTAATTAATCTAACAACTTTCTGTTTACAGGAAATTTATGGATGATTTAACTGAAACTAATAGTGAAATATAAAATATTGCATTCTTTCATCTCTTAATTTAATCAATGAGAAATGCGCTCGGTCTGTAGCTTGCAGCTGAAAAAAAAGTTAAAGGATGTAGTGGCATTGTAAGCAAATAGTTATCGACAGTCATAAAAAATCTAAAAATATTTCTATTAAATGTTTAACTACAAATTTTCCTCATTTGGCCTAATTTAAATCTACTTTAAATTAACAGAAAATATGCATTCAGGGGTAGAAATTAACTTTTGAACACGGGAGTCCAGCGGACTCCCTACCCTCAAAAAGAGTGAGTCTGCAGCAAAAAGAGTCTGCAGTCTGAGGTCCAAAATAAGGTTCAAAATTAAAGATATTAACAATAACGCATGTGCTTATTTTTAAGATTCATGCAGTTGCACGTCTGCCAAATTTTCTTTGGACATTAGCTGAAAAAATACAGTAATTTTGCGAGGGCATGCTCTGGAACGAACTAGTTTGTATGGCAGAATTTTCAGGGAGTCACACGGACTCCTGCATATGTTAAATCAGGGAGCCCGACAGTAAATCAGGGAGTATTTGACTTCGTACTCCCGTTAATTTAGCACCCTGTGCATTAAATCGAAACTATTGTTCCCCTTTAAGTGTGGCGTGACATTCACTATGGGGGTAGAAATGTCTGTGTTAGGCAATGTTCCCATTAATATTCTAAGCTTAGTAATTTCCTATTGCACTGTGTATTGGAGTGGTTGGAACTAGCTATTCATGTAGTCAGAGTTTTAATAAGAGTTAGATGTAATTAGATATAATAATAATATACACAGTGTCATCTTCGGTTAATCGTACCCACGTGTGTAATAGTGTTCACAATTGTGTATTGAGCCTTAAATAGGTATCCTTGTCAGCTACTTGTAGGCAGCTTTGTTTTAAATATAAATTTTGCCCAAGGCATGTATAGATAGCAAAGGTATTGCGTTTACTCCTTCAGGCGTCGTGGTGTATTCTGATACTATACACCGCGGCTTATGCAATTCTGGGAATCACATTCTTTTGAGCCGTTATAGATTTCTCTATCTCGGATGCGGGTATTGATTTTGAGTGTTCTGTTGGTCATGTCAGCAGAGCTTGCATAATGTTAAATTCAATATCCCATTTGCTGCGGATAGCATTTGCTTTAGCCTATTGGCTAGACAGCACAAAGAAACATGCCTGCGAATTGCATCACACTCCTGTAGGTCAGCGTATATATATCAGTAGGAGTTTATGCAAGTAAGCGTGAGTGTGTGTGGTTGTGGGTGCATAGGCTGCTTTGCTAGTCTGGCAGGAATAGTGTACAGTCCATTCTGGCCAGTAAAGAAACAGCCAGCTCCCATGTTACATTTTAACGGAGTTAAAAGGAAGATTTTTTTTAGCAGTTTACTGTACCCGAAAATATGCTTCCATACGTTTGGGATAGTATTGCGAAATTTACACATTCTAGTTGCTAGGTATGAGGTTAGGGGAATTTGGTTTTCAATGTAATGCATAGTCGAGATTATCACAGGCCAAGTATATAAGTAAAATATAGTTGTTTGACTGATTGCATGTGATAGAGGCGGGTATTTTCAATGTTAATGACAAGAATTTACTAGACATGGGATGCAGTTTGTAGTCGAGCTGGCGCTTGAGTCTATGTTAACTTTAAATCAGGCCAATAGAGCTCACTCATGTAAACTGCAAGCTGCTGGCTGATTTACGTGCAATCATACATGTTAATACGCTGATAAATCAGTGATCTAGGAAGCTAAACATTCATGGGTGTGAATTATGATCTCATTCTAGGTAGACAGTAATCCAAAAAGCTAGGACTCTATGTATACTATTACTTTTATACTTGGAATTTATAATGTGTTCACTTTATTCGCTGTTCTATACGAGAACAGAAAGTGGTGATGACACATGTGTTCTGAAAAGATATTTGAAAAAAATGAAGGCAGCCGTTTACTGGGTGCTCTATACATGTATCATTTTCCGGGATTGTGCCGTAATGTACGTAGTGATATGTGAATTAGCATTTCACTGTATTCATAACTGAGATGTTTAGTGGTATATATATATATGGGTATTTATTGCACAATATACACATAATTGGTAGATATAATCAGTGGTTAATAATGACAAATTTTTGTCATTATTAACTCCTGATATAATACATAATATAATATAATATAATTTATTATGTGGAAATTGACATTGCTGACTTTACTTTGTTTTTATCTACACGGGTGTTCGTGTGACGTAGCAGGTATTATGATATATTTTAGTGCATCACGTGATAAATCGTTGAAATTCCATTGGATAACG